ACCCGAAACGAGGGAGGAAGACTCGTGGACTGCGTCAACATGAATATAATATAAAAGCTAAACGGCTACAATACAACGATTTTCATCCGTTCTCATCTGGTGAGATCGAAAAACGAATCTCTTCTTCATGTAATTTCATTCGAAATGAAGGTCCCCCTAATGATGAAGTATTGTTAGTTAAATTTTCCCACAACGGTATGAGTAGGCCTCACGTACTTAGCGTGTCGAGACTGTACACTACACTACGCGGATTCCAGTCTCGTTTGGGTGTGATAGCACCTAGGTGAAGTCAAAACTGCACTCCACCCTTGATGAAAACACCTTTTGGGAGCAAATCTGTGTGAAATTAAATGGAAACTTGAGGCCTATTCATATGCTTTTGGGAAAACTCAACTACCGGTTCCGCATTACCTTAAAAGAAATATGCTGAATGTGAAATTTATTTGCATCATTAGGCCTACGGATTTCATTGTGTGGAAATGCCATTATTGATGCTCTATCGACTTATTCGAATAACAGTGATTTAAGTTCGTTTTCCATATCTTTGAATAGTCTTGAAATCTTCCTATTATATATACTCATATTCTAAGCGACTCCCAAAAATAGAACTTATTTGTATCTTCTCATAACAGATTTACTCATTGAATCCACATCAAATTTGTAAACATTTTATTGTTTAAATTTTAGCACCTGATTGAAAAATAGGGACTTTCATATTGTAAAACCCCTTAAGGCCTGCATTTACTGGTACCTTTCCATATATCTCCATCTCACTCCTCTCGTCTCTGTAACAGAAGCCTGGACCGGCCGAAATGAGTGGATTGGCGGTCTTCAAGGTCGGTCTGCCGACGGGTTACGTGACGCTAAATGATGAGCTACGCATGTACGTGCAAAGTGGCCAAGTGCCGAATCTGCGCTACGCTCGCTGGAGGCCTAAAGTGATTCACTTCTTCTTTGATTCGGTATGGCTACACGACCCAACAGCTCTTTTATGAAAAAATTCCTTCCTCGTATTGGCCCCTGGAAACTTAGAAAACTCTGTCTTTATAGAATAAGTAATTATTTTGGTAGACTATCTTTAAACATTTGACCAATAAGGTTTCCTAACACAAAATCCTTAAGTGAACCAAAAATAGCATTATGCAGTGTGCCAGCCTTAAGTATACTCATCAATAGGGTGACTGCTTCGCACACTAACAGATGCTTTTCTTCAGAGTTTATTCTCCAGAGATCCTAAATAATTATGCTCGAGAATCTGAGTAACTATATATGAATACGAACTATGCCTCAGATTGAGATTCATATATATAAATATAAGGGTTATTTAGTTATGTAACGGAATCTTAGGATAATTGGCAATAAAATATTAGCTTATAAATGGAAATTGATCAATACAAACTTTAGTAATAATGATTATTAAGTATAATTACTAGTAATAATAATTAACAATTGGCCAATTAAATGCTAGTTAATTGATGAGTAATTGATAATAACGTATTAATTGAACCTACTCAGGACGAAGGAATATTTATCGTCAGATATTTTATTTTATTTTCGAAGTTTTAACTCGGTTTTCATGGGCCCTGATGAAACAACCTTGTCATGGTGACCTTTGCTTCACGTGAATGCGGCGAATGAAGAACAGAACAGGTCGATCTCAACAAAAGACGGCGTTAGTGGACTCACGTCACTTTGCCGTCGTTTAATACGACGTTTGGTTTGACACCATCCACGAATCATTCTCTTTT